AGGAAGAAGCTAGAAGGAGGAAGAAGCTAGAAGGAGGAAGAAGCTCGAAGTAGGAAGAGAAGCAACGAGAGGGAGGAAGGGAGAAAAGAGAAGGAGAAGTAAGAGGGTTATATAAGAGAATTGTCCCTGGGACGATGGTGGAATGGTAACTGGAGTGATAGGCGCACAGAAAGACTCAGAGGAACTGAGTTCGAATCTGTGCAAAGTCACTACAGGAAAATCATCTATCACACCGCCCAGGGATGCCCCCCGGAACATTTTTCCACAAGCCCTCACGACGACTCCTCAATCGACCAAAAACAAATACAACGGACATTTTCGGCAACAGACATTTTCCAGAAACGAAAAAACCAAAGCGGAGTGAGGGATAATAACCCCAACGGACAAAAAGGGCTCAGCCAGCCCAAACCCAACCAAGAGATAAACTTGCGACGGGGAGCAGTATTGCTGTATTGCTCCACCACGCCGCGGAAGCACCGACTAAGGCCTTGTCTACTTCGAGCCGGCAGGTTCGATAATAGCGCTGGCAGGTGGCTTTGTCTACTTAAATAGTGGCAGATTCGTGGCAGATTCGTGGCAGGTTCGATATTAGCGCCAGAATGGGTGTATGTCTACTTTTTAATGGTGAAACCTGCCGGCAGGTCCACATCCCGAAATGTGGCTTTTTTAGCGCAGCGCCACCTCGTATTTCGCTCAATTAGGCAAACCTGCGGCAGGTTTTTTTCTGCTACATCGATGGACCCGATAATAACGCTCGCTGGCAGGTTCTCTACTCCTCATTGTTATCACAATGGCCCCTCTACATCGTCCCAACCCCCACCGCCCATTCTAGGCACCTCCACCACCTATTTTAGGCACTCCCCCCCACCGACTTTAGAACCCCATCATCACCCATTTTAAGCACCCTCTATCATCCATTTTGGGGTACTCCCACCACCCGTTCTATCACCTGTGCCCAAAACGGGAGGCGGGAGTGATAAACGGTATCCAAAATAGGTGATAGTAGGGCCCAAAATAGGTGGTGGAGGTGCCCAAAACAGGTGATGGTGGATGCCCAGAATATGTTGTAGGGGTGCCCAGAATAGGTGGTAGGGGTGCCCACGCTTTAGGGATTTTCGAAATAGACTAATTAGAGCATAGTATTCCTAGGTCACGTGGCTGGGATGTAGCTGCAGGGTGGATGGCTAAGAGAGGTCAGTTCGGAATTTGAAGCTATTATGCGAAGTCACACATCGTGACTTGGGAACATGACTACACAGTAAGAACCTGCAGCTTCCGAACCTGCCAGTGGGTAGACATTGGCCGTTTTGGCAGGTTTCTAATAATAGAAAAGCCACAACGCCCACCTGGCCCCTGCTTCTTAAACCTGCCAGCTACGAAGTAGACAAGGCCTAAGAAGGAGAGCCACGAAGGCAACGACGAAAGGACAATTACTACCACAAAGGAGGAGGCGGGGTTTTAGGTACCCATAGCCCTGGCAATGTTATGGGTTGAAACCCTTGGTTGGCTCAGGCTGAGAGCCTAAGCCTGATTAGGTTAAGGGTACATCAGAGTCCAACCTCTCCGATGTAAACAAGAAAGCTTCCCTTTCTTGTTCTCTTCTTTAGCTTAATCTAGAATATCTTTAGCTACGTGTATGTTGTGTGTATCCAGCTACCGTGCCGTAACATAGATTAAGCTTACTCTACTGCCCCTAATGAGCGAAGATGCGCCCACGCCGGCATCATTAACTCCCGCAATCCTCACTCCTCGACCCGAAGTATCCCTCGACGAACTCGCAGAGGACCTCGCGAGTATCCATATTAATATAGCCTCTCCCAACGACGGATCCGACGCTATATAACAACTTGTCGCCGCCCTCACCGCTACAAATCAAGACCGTGGTAGCTCCTCAAAAGCTATACGATGGCCAGAATGGAACGGCAAGACAGCTAGCTACGGCCTCTTTAAATGGACTCTCGAGTCCAAGATTGAGATAGAGAAGGGACGACTCGGGACCAATAAAGCGATATACACGAACATCTTCACCGGCCTACCAGAAAGTAAATAACAACGAGTTATCCACTGGCTACAAGCCGGAGGCAACGACCGAGACTGGTCGCCAACCGACTTCCTGGCGTATATAGACGACAAATTCCTAGATAGAGAAGCGGAAAGGAAGTCACTCGATAAGCTGAACCGACTACGCCAAGGAGAGAGATAATAGTTCGAAGATTTCAGACAACAGTTCGAATAGCTCTCGGCTTAATTAGGCACACTTGCCCCTATAAAAACTTCCAAAATCTCGACTATGAAAACTGCCCTCAGCCTAGCGTTATCCCGAGTGCTAATTACGGCCAAGCTTTCAAACACGGATTACGAATCATATGTTGCCGAGATCCAGAGCTACACTACCAACTTCGAAGCCCATCCGGACTTTCGCAAACTAACCGGATCGTCCAAACACTTCTACATCAGCGAAGCCTCCTAAAGAACAGTAGAACGTACGAGGTCGAGCTCCCCACGAATACCGGAGAAGGATGGCGATAACGATATGACAATGACGGACGTGAATGCGTTAGCGGTCAAAATTGCGGCTATCCTAGTACAAACGGGTTCGCTAAGTCGCAATTAAAAGGAGGATAAGCGCCCCCGGGCAAAATAGCGATTAGAGGATAAGTTCCGAAGCCTAGTCAAGGCGGGCAAATGCGGACGCTGCAAAGGGAAGAGACATGCCAACTTCTCTCAGTGTAAGTTCAAGCCAGCGGTCAAACCAAAGACACAGGTCTCTGCTGTCGATACTTTGATAGAGTCCCCTGTACAAGAAGAAGGATCAGAGAACGACACCTCCGAGCCGGAAAACGAGTAGCCCTCGCGTCTCGACGCGTGCGAGGGCCAAGTATAGATATACACGGCGAGGACCTTTCGACAACCCCGAGAGCGGAGGAGATCAGAGCAGCAAAGGATAGGATAGAGAGTACCCCCTTCTTAATAGATACTTTAATCAACGGAACCTCATTCACCGAATCATTCTTCGACAATGGCTGTCTCCCCTATGCCGCTTTTAGCGAAAAGTGCGTCCGAACCTACAATCTACCGCGCATCCCGATTGCATCGTTGCAATTAACACTAGCTAAGAAAAGCCACAAGAACGGAGACGACCTCCGTATTACGCATATAACCTATGCTACGATCGACATCGATGGACGATCAGAACGAGCCTACGGGTATATAGTAAAAGGACTGAGCTTTTCTATTATCCTAGGCAAAGCTTAGGCAGAGAGAAACTCTATACGATACATAGCCGACAAGAGGAAGCTATATATCGGCAGAGGAGCCCAGCGTATCACTATCCGAGAGAAAGGATAGCTTAAGTACAACGAACGAGCCCAACGAAGGCTTGCCTAAGTGTATACCGCGAAGCTTGTCACAGGATCTGTGTTCGCCGCTATTATAGAAAGGGCGCGAAAACGTGCTAAAAAGGACGGTCTAGACAGAACCCAAATCCTTGCCGTTGTTACGGCACGGTAGCTGGATGCACACAACATACACGTAGCCAAAGATATTCTAGATTAAGCTAAAGAAGAGAACAAGAAAGGGAAGCTTTCTTGTTTACATCGGAGAGGTTAGACTCTGATTTACCCTTAACCTAATCAGGCTTAGGCTCTCAGCCTGAGCCAACCAAGGGTTTCAACCCATAACATTATCCCCCTCTTCACCGGGTACAAAGGACTAAAGAAGGGAGGGTAGGTGGGAGAATACAACTTACAAACGCCATACAGCGTTTGTGCCAATTGAAGGCCTCCTCCATCGCGTTAACCGCCGTCTTGCGGCTCCGACGAGGCCCTATGATAGCTTCAGCACCGTCTTCTCCGACTCCATCGCCTTTTCTAAACTCCCTCTCGAACCTATCAAGGTCTTCAACATCTACGAAGTCCTTCCGTAGCTGCCAGGTTGGCTCCGCCTATCCCTTCCATTTAATTAGCAGTCTCCGCTGCCATCCACGCCCGACTCTACGCTTCTCTGCGCGAAGGATCCGTTCTACTATATACTCGGCGTCGTTTTCGTCGGTCTAAGGGACTAGTGCAGGGGGTTGGGCGTCTTCAATTTCTTAGGATGGGAGTAGGTCGGTTGCGCCTCTCCGTAGAAGGTCCACGTGGAAACGGTTATGGATCCCAGTTGGCAGGTCAGCCAACTCGTAGACCATTGGCGATACTTGATTTTTAACCGTGTACTTCGCTTGGGTCTAGGACAACTTCTTAGACTGCTGTAGCGTACTGATATTCTTCAGGTTCAGCCAAACTTTATCACCCTTTTTGAGCACTTCAGCCGCTCGTCTAGAGCGGTTGGCGTCGTCTTCTATGCGTTGTTGCGACCAAGCCATCGCGGCTTGGGCGTATTCCTGGGCATCGTGAATTCGTTAGACGAAAGTCTCCGCGTCGGCGGCTGGGGAGTTGTTCGGGGAGACTCTCTCCACTTGCTGTACCGGTTCTGAGTGGTATCCATGTGTTAAGAAGAAGGGACTTGCGCCTATTACTAAAGAATCGCGATTATTCAGGGCTAACATTGCGGTTAGGAGCAGTTTCGGCCAGTCTAGTTGAGAGTAGGCTATAAAGGCACGGAGGTACGCTAGTACTTCTTGGTTCATGCGTTCGGTCGCTCCGTCTGTTTGCGGGTAGAACGCCGTTAATAACCTCTGTTCCATGTTTATAAGCTCGCATAGCTTCTTCTAGAAGCGTCCTATCTAGTTGCTTCCTCTGTCCGAAGTGAGTGCTGATAGGAACCCGTAGAACCGATAGTAACATTAAAGGAAGCGTTCTGCGCAAGCCTCCGCTTCCATAGTTGTCATTGCTTCAAGCGTCACGCTTTTTAGAAGACGGTCGGTGATAACCATAAGGTATCTCGGGGAGTCTCCTTCTCCTGGGAGTTCCGTTATGAAATCGATTGATAATTCGCTGTGGAACCGTGCGGGAATCGGGAGAGGTTTTAGGAGGCCACGTTTCCTATCGCGCTATACCGTCGTTCTCCCACAAACGTCGCAGTTTCGGACGAATTGTCGCACTGTCTTATACTGCTGGGGCCAGAAGAAACTCCTCGAGAGGATCGCAAGGGTGCTGTCCCTTCCTGGGTGGCCGGTCACGTGAGAATCGTGGGTTTTCTGGACCAGCGTCGTCCGTAGGGGTTCCCAGTTAGGAACCCATATGATTCCTCTCCTCGTAACTGCACCGCGGTGGTCGATCTCGCAGTCTGGTAGTTGTACGGAGAGCTTCAGTTCGGGTGGGAAGGCTCTCTCTTTGTTAGCGATAGCTTAGTGAATCCGTTAGTAGGACTCGTCTTCCACGAGTCCACGATCCCAAAGGAGTTGTAACTCTGGCTCTTCAAAGATATCGCTACCTTTTGCGATACTTAGGATCTCGCCTCTCTTCTTAGCTTCCTCTCCGTGTGGTTCGCGAAGGGGGTAAAGTAAAGCTTATATAGCGACTGCCGCTGCTGTTCTCTCGGAGGCTGGTGGTAACCAGGCGTCTTTAAGTAACTGGGAAACTCGGCTTTCGAGCCTCGCATCATCCTTTCCTTGAGGCATATCCTGTTCTCTCCTAGACAGCGCATCTGGCCTTAGCGCCAACCTCCCGGCGCGGAATTCGAGTTGGAATTGGTATTCCGAAAGAAGTAACGCCCACCTGGCCTGTCTCTCGGTAAGGCGTTGGGCTGTCATGAAGTAGCGGAGGTTCTTATGATCGGTAAGAACCTTGAATGGGTGAACTGGTTGGTCTAGATTGCTTTTATATACACGAGGCAGATTGATTTATTATACAAGTTGAACTTTTGGTAAAGTAAAAGAAGAAAATAAATAATAATAAGAATCAATTTAACGTACTATCTGGATCCCTTTCGGGTCTATGAGCACGATATTCTATCTAGTCTGCCGCGGGCAAAAGTTTCCCCGTAGCCCTGAGGCTGCGGGTACATAAAATCCCGCCTCCTCCCTTTAGTAGACTATCTTAAACGTTTATTATCTATCCGTAAGAGTCGGTGTTTCCGCCTACGCGGAGAGCTTATTCTGGCACGTCGTGGAGGAACTGGAACGGTTTCCAGTCCTCTATTACCTCCTCCTTAACTTCCTTGGCTACCCGGTATTACTCTAGGCCTCCCGCATCGATCAGCCACCTTACTGCGTGGCGCACCTTGTCCCTATTATGCAATATCCTCTTAAAGTCCGTTATTCCAGCTCGTTAGAGGAGCTCGATCCTCTGGTCGGTCCGCTGCGGGCAAAATACAAGGAGATAGTAGAGAGACTATCGGGGGGTACCGCACTCACACGCTAGGTGGATTCTAGGGATACTAATTTTTGCGAGCCATCCTTTAACTCTAACTACCTTAGTCCGTAGTACTATAAGCGCCGAGGCCTCGTATTTCTGAAGGCCGTCGTACCGGTTAAGGCACTGGGTTTCCTACGGGTCCTTCTATGTCCTTACTCTCCTTCCTAGTCTGGCCGCTTCGGCTTACCATCTCTCCCTCTATTTCGCTCGATACTCGTCCTAGATTATCCGGTACGGGCCTTTTCGCTATTATGTCTAATATCCTCTAATTGGTTCGGGCCGGGGGAACAGAAGTCTATTATACTGGGTCCGAAGCGTACTTATCGCGGGTTTAGGTTTAGACCGGATACGGCGGGGTCGGCCTCGAGTTCGTCTCGGGGGAGCAGAAGCAGCATCCTAGACTTGCGTCAGGGCTCCCTTAATCTGGGTAGTAATCTTGTGGGTGTTCGTCGATGCTGCTCTTTGGGCGGCCCGTTCTTGGACGTAGAGTTCGATTGGGGGAACGTCCGCCTCTCTCTTAAGCGCGGCGATTGGTGTCCGTTTATAAGCCCCTAGGATCTTTCGTAGACACTTGTTCTAAACCTTGGCTAGGTCCTTCATTTTGCCTTCAGAGATTGGCTCACCCTGCTAATAGACTCCCCAAATAGGGGCGCCGTATGTCATAATAGGCCGTGCAACCGCTATGTAGAGCAGCCTCGATTTCCGGACGGATAGTCCCTATACCGATGAAGTTACCCTCGCCAGGGAGTCGAAGGCCTTAAGTCCCCTCTATATTACCCGGAGGATATAGTCCTTCTATAAGAGGGAAGGGTCGAGCTAAACTCCTAGTACCCGGAGGGATATAACTAATTTAGCTTAATGTCCCTATATTTAGATCGTAGACCGGAGATTAGCGGAAATATTACGTTTCTTGGTAAAGTAGATAATCTGGTACTTATCCGGGGGAAATTTAGCCCCGAACCGTGACGCCTATTCCAGGCAAGTATCGTGGGCCGCAGTTAGTCGTTGGCAGTTAGCTGCTGCCGTATCTCCCCAGGTAACCAGTGTAGTATCATCAACGAACCCGAACCCGAGCACGTTACCCTGAATATCCTTAAACTGATGTAGTAGGTTAGATATGAATAGGATAAACAGCGCGGGTGATAGGGTAGAGCCTTGCGGGATCCCTGTCTCCGTGTCGAACCAGCGGCTCTTAAAGTCCGAGAAGAGAATCTTTGTTCGCCGTCCGGTTAAGAAAGATGCGATCATCTAGATAATCTATTCGGGATATCCCATCCGACGAAGGACCCAGAGCAGCCGGGGGTAAGAGACGTTATCAAAAGCTCCAGCAAGGTCAAGCCTAAGTATAGAGACCACAGACTTCTTTGCGTGCTACGCCGTCTGTATAGTCCCGGTAAGGAGTTCTAGGGCGGAGAGAGTGGATCTCTCCTTTCGAGCTCCCATTTGGTTCCAGGGAATCAGATCTCGTGTTTCCGCTTCAGTGATCAGTCGATCTGCGAGGATTTTCTCGATTAGCTTTGTAACCGTGTTTTTAAGAGTAATAGGGCGGTAGCTGCTTAGAAGAGAGTAGTCCTTTTTCTTGTCCTTCCTTAGTACCACCGTAGTAGATTCCTTTAGAACTGCTAGTAGCTCCCCGCTTCGGAAGAGAGCGGTGACCGTCCGGGCTAGGTCTACGGCTAGGATATTAGAGAGGGCCTTTAGTACCTCGTTCGGGATCATATCAGGCCCGGGGGCCTTCTGGTTCGGTAGCCGGCGGATAATCCGGGTGATCTTATCTAGGGTGACCTCTTGCCCGATATCGAATCGTGGGAACTGTTCGTTGGTTATATCTTAGAGGTCAGCGGCACCGCTCCGTGGGAAGAACTTTGTAGTAAGGATCTCTGCTTTCCCTTAGTTGTCTCCCGTCGGGGGATCGTTCTCCGTGCGCCTAAGTGGTAGGATAGCTATAAGCCTACCGGGTTGCCTAGCGGTCTTCTAGCTCTACTTATTTAGTCTCTAGAGCCCTCGGTTGTATATATAGTCCGGGTAATTCTCGTCTTTAGTAAGTGTCTAGATAAGTTTTCTCTATCTCGTCCGGCCGTTACTACGCATCTTCCTCCTTAGGGTATTCCTTTAGTATTTCTAGTCTCGTTCGTCGTCCGGGTCCTGGGTCCGTTAGAGCCGGCGTCGGGCCTGGCGGGCGCCAGCCAGGAACTCTGCTGCCTGTAGTGACCACTCCGGTCTAGACCAGTCACAAGGTCGCGCCCGTTTACAGTGCTTGTCCAAGGTGCCGTAAAGAAGTCTAATAAGGTGAACGGGTTGGTCTAGATTGCTTTTATATACACGAGGCAGATTGATTTATTATACAAGTCGAACTTTTGGTAAAGTAAAAGAAGAAAATAAAGAAAAGTAAAGAAAAGATTAGGAAATTAGTTTAAAAGAAGGTAGGGGCGGGTTCTATATCGTGTTAAGAGAATCGAGAGTTGTCCGTCTAAGAATTTCGACCCTGCGTAGTTCTTCTGTAGGTCCCGGTAGAACTTGGC